TACTCTTGATTTCATGTAGATTATGTTCTATGTAGATTATGAATGACATAGCTAAAGTGACCTTATGAAAAAGTTTTATCTCAAAGCGTCGCGACAATGCGACTGAAAGTTCGTCTAAAAACCATCGCGAAAAGAGACCGGCGTTTGTAAGGTGAAACAGTGGCACAGTATAATCATGGAAACCACAGCAACCAACGGCCCTGAAGGAACTGTGTCTAATAAAACTTAAGTCTAAGGGAATGCGCCGCCTGTACAGCAGCATAAACGATTATTTCAAAGACATTGAATTGTGAACACTACTTACAACAGTAGTGGAAAATCTACACGCAGTTTCCCATCTTAAGCAGGCGACCTTCACCGCATTGGAATATTCACAAGACTTTGGAAAACACGTAATTACCAAGGAGTCGTTGAAGACAGTGAAAAAATGGGCAGCTAAGTATTTTACTCATGAAGAATCCTACTATCCTGTCCCTCAGACCTGCACGGAGTTTGCAGATGTCAACTTTATGCTACCTCTACCTTCAGAAGAGATAAAATCCGAGACTGAAAGTGCCATGAAAAAATTTTTGGGGAAGTATCGTCCGTTGAGGCAAAGGACAGTTTGGGAGGAAACCACCAAGAATAAAACAGGGGTTTTACCACCAGCCGTCTACACGACGCAAGAAGATTCCACCGAAGTGAACTTGGGATCAGGGAACGATTCTAACTTTGGAGATCAGCCAGTAGGGCTCAGCAGCGACAAAGGTACCGTTCGAGCTACTTCGGAAGGTGGGAATGTGACAGATGTCACATTTGTTGACGACTGTATCGTTGAAGTGGCAGTTTCTGAGGTGAGGACATATACAGACGGACCCAGACACGGACCCAGAAAAAGACTTCCCACCGAGGGGATGAAGGTATCACCCCAATTACAGTTTCTAGATCCGGGCGACCAATTCGCGCCCATTTTCGCTTGGATTTCTAGGGTACCCTTTATAGATGTCTCTAATAACCATCTTGAAAAGTAGACAAAAGAACGTTCCTTTCCTATCATTTCATCGGAGCCAATCGCAATCGACGCATTGTAAACCAATATATTGAGCCAGAAGACTCTTCACAACTTTTCTGTCTTTCTTATGATCTTCTTTCGAACATGTTGCGCAAGGGAAAACAGAGTTTGGTGTGCAGAGGAGATGTAACTTACTTAAAAACCCTTCAAACAAAGACACTTGGAAAGTCACTTGGAATATCTTGGATTTATTTCAATCCAGAATTGACAAAAAGGAGTTCTTGTATCAATTTTCGACTCAGTTAGTTTTCGCGTTTACGCTTCATGCGCCTTTTCAGTCAAAAATGGGGTCGGAAAGTAATAATTAACTCGCCAAGTTAATCATTAACTGTCATTTAACTGACACCTAACAAATGGCCTAAAATCAACTGAGAACTGATAAATGGCCGAGATTTTAACTGACAACTGACATTTGTACCCCCCCTCCCCATCCAGACCCTCTTAAAGGCTTCAGCGTGCAGTTCGTTGGGGTATCGCGCGCATCTCGTATGTTATATCAGTACAATAATACTGCTGAATACATGTATTGTATTTCTTTGCCATAATCATAGGTTCTGATGAACTACTTCTGGTTTAGAGATAGTTTAAAGGACGCTGTGTCTAAGACTCGTCTTCACAGCCAACTGTTTCCGAATCTGGTCCTTGTCGAGAAAACCTTTCCTAAACAGTACGTCGACGAGCTTAAACGTTTTGGACATAAAATTACAAATGACACCGTAGATATTACAGGTAAGAGCAAAAAGGAAAGAAAATTTCAGGACCTTTAATCTTCGATTGTACAGTGTAATCCAATCAAAGCTGGCTCACGTAAATATCACAGCGAAACTGAGTAGTCAGGTTTGACTACAAAGCAGCTCCTCCTTTGCTCTGATCACTGATGATGTCAGCCTATGTTACTTGTCATCAACAACAACAATCCTTTCACGTGACAAGGATAATCCACTGATTGAAAAATCAGGGTCTACCATCTTAAGGAAATAGGGCTTTATAATTCTGAAATACCCAGTTTTTTACCTGCATATAAGATTACGTAGAAAAGAGATCCTAATTTATCTTATGATTTTAAGAAAGGCTACCGCGGAATCCCGATTTCTCGAACCTCTAGGGGAAACGCAGATTGGTTCGAGAAATCGGGAGTTCGAAAAATCGGGAATGAAATTACAAGTGAAGCAAATTCAAGGGAAATAAGGTTTGGTTCGAGATATCGGAAGGTTCGAGAAACCGAGGGTTCGAGAAATCGAGATTCCACTGTATTCCCAAATATAACCTAATACCCTATTTGTTAAGGCAGAGTTTTTTGAGCCTGACAAAGACTTCCAGGTACGGTACACATGAAACTCTTGGCTAGACATCTACACATCTTTCCATCACAAAAGAACATGTTCAGTTTGGTGAACGAGAATTGTGCTCTAAATAAGAAATTTTATTTGTGATAAATTATAAGATCGTACCTCACTAGCATTATGAAAACATTTCTCAGCGCAAGTGAAGTAAATTACAAGGTAAAGGAAACCTCAACCAAATCCCAATTAAGACATTAGATAGCCAATTAGGAGCGGAAAGTTTATTCTATTGATAGATAGGAAACGGAACATTTAATAAGTCTGAGCTGGGTTTTAATCAGATGATTTGATTTATAAAATATACGCCACTCATTTTACCGTTTGAAGCGTGTCCTGCGCCTAAGTGATTGCTGCAAAAGCCAACTATTCTCATGAAAAACTTATCAAGACCATGATGAATTAATTGTATTACCTCTTAACAGCTTTCGTTCAATTTTTTCGAGTCGCATAATTTCTCAATGCGGGAGAAAACTGGCGACAATTTCAAAATAGTGTGCCAAGTTGGAGAAACAAAGAACTTGGAAAATTCTTCATGATATCAACTGTGCATCTCAACTTTGACAGATCCTTAGCACCATAAGCAATTCAACCACCAATCTTGTAAAGTGCAGTATTCAAATAATTATATTATAAACAATGGTACGGCAATGGATGGATTTTCTCTTGAAAAAGCATCTCGTAAGTCAATAAAATCAGATCGGCTATTTATTAAAGCTACGTCACAGTTAATTTTTCGGAGTTCCAATTGTCATTCTAAATCCAGGACGACCTACTCCAACTTTAATCAAGGTGGATCATTTATGAATACTTCCAGTGTCCGTTTGGACAATTATCTACCTTGCTCATCGTTCAGTTTCAGTTACACAAAGTCTCCAGGGACGAATAACAATGACTCGTGCGCATGTTCTAGTAAGTCTTTCGTGCCAGATAAAAAAGATCCTGTTATTTATTTTAGTTTACCAATGGTCTTAGGATAACCTCATTAATCTTAACAAAAGACTGTACACCGGATTTTCTCTTAAACAAAGCATCTCACGAGTTTGATAAGATCAGATCGGCTGCGAATGTAAGTTAAGTCACGGTTGGTCTTTAAATGTTTCAATCACCATTTAAGCTAGTGAAAAACTGCTCCAATCTAAACCATTGTGTATCATTATAAGATAATTTCAGTTTCCATTGGGACAATTACCTATCTATGTTATCGTACTCACTCTTTCGTTTTGATCGCATAAAATCTTCTGTCTGCAGATGAATTTAACCTCGTTAAACTGACTTAAGGCTAAAGGACGCTAGAAATTCTCCTCAACCGGTATAAAGCCTTTTGTAAACTAATGAGATCAGATTGGCTACAGATACACCCGCCCGTGGAGTGGCTACCGTGCTTTCACAGTTTATGAATGTTTTCCCATTTCATTTGCAATTCTTGAACAGTAATCTTCTTCATCCTCCACCATTGCTATTGGGTTAACATTTATTCTTTAGTTACCCTTGGATGCTTCTCTTTCTTACCAAACTAATATTTTCTGGCTCATGTCTCTGTTTTAAACGTTATTTTCTCTTCGCAAAAAAAAATATATAAATAAAAAAAATCAACGTATCTCAGCCTCGTGCATTCAAAGTTCACGATGAATCAAAAACTGAGAAGTCAACTGAGAGAAACTTTTCATTACAATTTCCGAGTGGTTGTGTTAAGAGGTTGAACAAGTCTAAGCTTTACTATTTTAATTTCAATGTTCTTCAATATAAAGAGCCGCTTTTACAGTGAAGAACAGATCTGGGCCACGGGGCGTCGTGCTTTTCTTCTGACAACGATGGTTCGATTATCAGCAAGAGCTCAGTCTGCTAAAACTGATCGTTCACTGTTTTTGCCAGAGTTACAATATTTCTTTGAAAAATTTACTCTAAAATTCTACTTTTAAATAGCATCTGACCGATCCAAAACGCTCATGCCGTGTTGAAAGGTCAGTCGCGATTCTAAACTCAATCCTTGAACTCCTGCCTCGCGAAAACCTTTGAAAAGTTGATAATAATAATGGTCTTTATTAAAAGCAATAATGCATCAACCGTGTCATTATTTACAAAGAATGAAATATAAAACAGATTAAGATAGAAAATAAAACTAACTATCAATGGCAGACAATGCTAAAACGACATCTATTTACAAAGTGGATTTAAAACGTGAAGTACGAACTCTAGGTAATATATAATCATGGCCCCTGCTGCGTAATTGCCTAGTACGTCTCGGCGGTTAAAGATCATCAAGTGCAGTGATATTTGAAGTGATCTTGATCCATAGTTTGCTATCTCTGGTGGCTAAAATATCACAAATACTATATTTCTTCAAAATATCACAAATACTATATTTCTTCAAACAATGTCTGCCTTGACAACTTCTCTTGCACATGCGCACAAACAGATTACTGCAGCAGTTGCTATCCGACCGGCTGGGGGTGGGGAGGCTGGGGGATAAGACGGTCTACAGGCAGGGGTTAACATAGACATGGATTCCACACTCCGAACAGAGGATGTTTATATATGCGATATGAACTACTACACATTCTTGCTGCTCATTCATTGAACTCTCAATCATTCGACAATTTACTGAATTGTTTATTTGTTTATACGTTCATCTATTTATTTATTCACTGCTTTATTCGAATTACTTAGGAACTCCCCATCAAATCGTCGGAGTGGTTCAACTCGTCTATCGAGACAAGGACGGCGAGATATTCGCACTTGCTGATCATAGGAAGGGAGGTGAACCCGCAGGTTACCGCTGAGCAAACGAACATGCCTGTGTAAAATGATAGATTACAACACAGTTCCAACACTATTCACAACCTAATACTGCTTTAAGGCTGTCATTTACTCTTGAAGACAATGCACGCTCTGTAGTTATTCATGAGGTATCGTGATGCTTAATTTAAAAATCAAGGCATCTTGCACTCCGGGAAAAGAACCGGCTGCTCTTTCAAGGTTATGAGCGGCGGAAAATTGAGTGGGATGACTCCTCCTACGGTACTTACTTCATAACCTTCATCTGTCACCTTCTAAGCCAGAAAACTCACCAGGCCAAACGTTCTCTAACGACCCTTACTATCACCTGATTTCCACATGCTCCGACCTGAAAAAAGTATCGCGTCGCGTAAGGTATAGGAAACTCAAACGATCTCGTGAAAGTGTAGATCGGGGCGAGCATATATGGAAAACAGACGTTTGGAGAATTAATTCTTACGTAACCTAAAACCAAAACAACGGATCTGCTTTAAAAAAACCGTGACTAGAAATTTTTGATCAAATCAACGAGAAATGTAACAATATTATCAAGTAGTATTCACAGTGATACAGTCTCACGCACACGATTTAGCTAGTTCGGAAATCATCAACAAGTAATATTTATAAACATCCTTAGAAAAAAAAAATCACGCTTCAAGACTTATAAACTTTCCGACCATTTTTCGATGTATCGACAGGAAAAAAAAAAACTTGTGGTTTGTTTTTGTTTTTGTGTGGTGTATTTTAATTTATCTCAGTTTCCGGCGGTGAAAGTAGTGGATATTAACCTCACCGCTTTGCGGCTTAGTAAATACTCACCAATATTCACTTCCACTTCGGTAAATAATTGTTATTCAAAAGAAGCAACCAATTTATGCAATTAGCTATTGTAGTCCGCATCCTTCCATTGTAATAAATCACTTCAAAGCTGTACACTGGGTCAGTCTTGTAATATTGTTTGCATTAAAAAATTTCATGAGAAATTTGAAAACCTCACCTTTGAATTTGAGACATTTCCGACGAAACGAAAATTAGGAAAAAAGAACATTTGAAATTTTACAATTTGCAGAGCTCTCTCTAGATCTATAATTACATGTCACGCAATGGGAAGTTTTGGTGAATAAATATCTATTTCGTTCGAATTTTCTTCTGGTAGCCTTCGAGCATGTGCTCTGAGCGATTAGAAGACATTTCATCAGTCTTTTTCGCCTTTTTACCAGGATTTACAAGAATGGTGTAAAATAACTTCGTATACAGAGAACAAGAAATTCCCTGATTAGAATTAGCCGTATTTACTTAATTCTCGGAGGTTATTACTGGAATTTTAATTCAATGAATGTATCGTGAATGACTCTTTTGTTATTGCGGTGTTTGACGAATGGAAAATTAATTTTAATGCAGGGACATTCGAGGCCCTCGAGTCAGGGAGACGCCAGATTAAGCTGAATTGCCGATATGGATCAATGCTTTGTGCGTTTGTTGTTTCGCTCGAAGGAGAAAGAGTTTGTAGCCGCCTTACGCCTCTGATTACAAACCAGAAGAAGGAAAAAAACGTGTTGAAGATCGAATTTCTAGCAGTAAACCTATCTGCGTTTGTCTGTCGCCAGGACCCAAATGTCCTCTACGTGTGAAATTTTCCAAGTGTCGAAAAATGGAACAAACCTTTAGATCTCAGTGAGTTGGATTAAGCTGATTTTGGAATGAAAATAACGCTTAAATAGCTTCTAATGAAAATTGAAAAAAGCCTGTTTAATTTAAATCAAAGACTGATTTTCTGCAAGGTTCAATCTCTGAAAAATCGCGCCATTTCAGAGAAAGAACCTATTAAAAGGACCAGGGTTGCGTGATTCCGACTGATGCGAAACAAAAGGAGCATTTCCGGCTATTTTTCTGTTATCAGCAGCATTTTATCATCGGGAATTTTGGAGCCTGTATGTCTTCCCGATATGTCGGAAGCGTGTAACAGATTGAAGCTTTCAAGAGTCTCTAAAGTAAGATTTCACCAAAAATAAGCGCTATAACATTCCAGATTAAGAAAGGAATCCTTTAGTTGGAGAGAGCACACTTGTAACCAACTGCGCACGAACGAAATTCGAGGCGCCCTTTCGCATGACAAAATCCAAGTGGAAAAATAATTACGTTAAGATGTGTGAATGGTCTGCACCAGGCAGGTATTAAAATGTAGAAAAACAGGCCCGGAATAGCAGAAAGACACAGCTAGGCGTCGGATTTCAAGAAAAATAGTTTTGTGTAATGTAAACATTTCTGGCAATCTTCATTGTGGATACAAGCCAGTAATTACTGTCAACTGCGTACCTTCAGACTCACTGTCGAAGAAACTTTGCCCGTGAGGCCAAGTTTAGCCTCAAATCTTAAAGGTGTGCTGTATGTTGTTCAAGTGAGCGCGGCTTAATCACGATTTCCGCCTCACTGTAGACTGTTTGGATCGATCTGATAACGGCGGCTCGTGACGAGTTGTTTAATTACCCGAGTTGAGGGAAATTTTACCTTTGACAGCGGAGGCGCCGATTGCAGCAAATGATAAATTTAAGCATTCCTCTTAATGCTTATAACCACAGCCTGCAAGGAAACACTCAATCCTTATTGACGAGGGGTTCGTTTGTAAAGCTTGAAGAGGTGGTGTTTGTCCCAACTGTGAGGACTAAATCGTATCTTCAGAAGATTTAATCAAATAACAAGCAGGCGACTGTACTAGACGATGGCGGACGAATTTCATATTTCATCGAATGACTCTTTTCTTGAAGAAGTGCCCGCCGAGAGTTACTCGGATAGTCTTCCAGTTCATGCGATTCTTCAGCTAGTCATCTTCACAATTATCTTTATGGTTGGGTTCTTCGGGAATTCCATCGTGATATACGGAGTTCTTCAACAAGGATCATCCAAGACAACAAGCAGTTGTTTTATTGCGAACTTGGCCCTGAGCGACCTGGCTGTCTTGGTTCTAAGTTTACCTGTCGGACTTCTACAAGAACTTGCTTCTTGGCCGTTCGGCGAACTTGCCTGTAAGATATTCTTTCCTTTCGGCGATGTGTTTTTGACCGTTTCAATCATGACATTGACAGCAATCGCTTTGGATCGCTACCGTGCGATAGTTACGCCGTTTAAAGCGCGTTTCACGAAGGCTCAAGCGAAAGTCTGCATTATGTTCATTTGGATCATCAGCTATCTTGTTGTAGGAATTCCGACATCTATCATTCTTAAACTCGTCACAACAGACGGTAATGTAAAAGTGTGTTTTCCTTACTGGAAGAGCAATATGGAACGAACAATTCACAAAGTGCTAACGGCGTGTCTGGCTACATTTCCTCTGTTTCTTATCGGGTACTGTTATATCAGAGTTGTTTTGGCGTTGTGGAAAGTCAGAATAATACATGATAACCGCAATACGGCTAAGAACTCCATCACAGTCATGCGACTCGAGCAGAAGCGAAAACTCGTTAAAATGTTAATTGTTATCGTGGTGGCCTTTAGCTTGTGTTTACTGCCGTACGTAACATTTGCGCTCGTTTTGGAATTTACGGGAATGGAGCGAACACCCTATGTGAATGTTGGCTTGGTAACATGTCTTTCGCTTCTTTATGCAAATAGTGCCATAAATCCATTAATTTTATGTACAATGAGTAAAGATTATAGGGTTGGACTGAGGCCCTGCGGATGTTAAGGCTCTACTCTTTCGCCAGGATTAATTAACAGTGACTTTGCAAATAACATTTCAGAGAAATACCATTTTGCACTACTCTTTTACGAGACTTCACTACGTTTGTAGTCTAGATGATGTTATGTAGTCATTCAGTACATATCACAAAGTGTTGTATGTTATTCCTTCACATTCTATAGGATTGCGCAAAAAAATATTACAAGTAGTAGATCTTGAAGGTTCTCAAGTTTTTTATTTCGATTGATGTACATATTGTTTGAGTTAGAGTAAAGGTTACAGTTTTGAATAAAACGCTGACGGTAAATTTATGAAAATGATATTTTTAGCGATGTGTAATGAGTCCTAAAACTTTTACCTATGATATTTTAAGAATAAACTGCTGCCTGCAATTAACAGTTGCTCTATTTAGCGGTACAATGAATGTTGAAGAATGATCCTCAGATAGTGAAACTTTTAATGCAATCGTCTCTGGAAAGAATTATTTGTCCTTGTTTTCACCTTGGTCTTTTAAAGTTCTCTCAGTGTATGAAATATTAGAATGTTAATCTAATTATGTTTTTTTTTTATTTCCAAACCAATTTGCGCTTTTAAATATTACAAACTCATTCATCGATTCCCGTTGATTCCACTTTATTCCTTCTTGATGGGACGAGATGTCACCAAAGTTTCGTTTGAGCCATGGAATTGAAATATTCTTCAAATATTCTTCAAATATTCTTCATGGCCAAGGTAAAATAATCATTAAGAAATCCTATTCAAATTTCATTGTTCAACCTTAAGCGCGTGACTTTAAGTTTCTTTTTATCTATCCTAGTGAAACCGCTGTCAGTGGATGTCAGACCGTTTAGCCCGATACGCTTCTACCCTTACAAACCATCTCCACCGATCATTCTAACAATTCTTGCTTCATTTTGCATGTTTTACCCTAATTATCAAGCAGCCTTGTGTTTTTCTGCGCCGGTGCACCAATTTTGTGAAGCTTTTAATACAAATTTTTTTACAGTTAAAAAACCTTATTAAAATATATCTTGAGACATCTAATTAGCGCTGCGTGTTAATTAAATTTTGGCTGTCGAGTTTGCCACGCGATACATTTTTGCGATGATAACTCGCCCCTTATGACCCGCTTAACTTGGTCAATATTTTCCAACTGGTGCAAGCTATGATAGATTGCATTTTTTTTGGAATTAAAATTTTTCTGCTCGGGAGATGTCGCAAACTAAAAATACTAACTGAAAATACCTGTCACTGGATTTCTTTTGAATAGAGATACGGTGAATCTCATATTAAGAGTTATTAATGCTGGGACTACTTTGTATAGCTTAATAAACAATTTAACTCGCCACTGAGTAAAGTAATCATTTTATTCGTGACTTCCCCCTATAAACTTGGTCTAGACTGGTATTTAACGGTTAAAAAATGCCGCAATTCATAAGCTTCGTCGTGTTCGAAGAGTCCTTGCAGACTACCTGATTAGACACGATTAAAACTGGTCGAAAGTGTTGCAATTAAAGCCAGTTCTTGTGGACATCCTTCCACAAATATTAATTTCCTTCTACGGATCACGATCGTCCATGATCCCGCTCTACGGCACTAATCATTGCACACGGTTTCCCGTAGTGGTTTTTAACTAAACTACACGATTTAGAACCACTCCAGTACAGCATATGATAAATAGTGCCACATTAGCATAGTACTCATACATGCCGATCAATGAGTCACTTTCAATTTAATTGTCACGTTGTCTTCATCCAATTAGTACCGATGTTATTTATGAAATGCGGGCATGTTTCGATCCTCAGCGAGAATGCAGCTTTCGGCTAAATCATCACACAAAAAAGAGAAAATAAACCGGCTTTCATGGAAAAACGGGGTCCTTCCCAAAACAAACGTTGACACCTGAATAAATACTTTATATTCTTCACGAATCGGTTGTACGTAAAGATTTTGCTTTGAAAAGAAAAATTCATAAGGATTGGATATGAATCAAAGCATTAGAAATCCAAGGAACATTCCGATAAATAATTTTCTTTCCGGATATCCTTTAGACGCAAGAAAATAAAATTATTAAAAACTAGATCATTGATAATGCAATTCAAGACTTTTTATTGGCTTAGCCATTATGGTATATCTGCCAATATACCATAATCTACAAATATGGCAAGCGTACCTGTCAGCTTAAAATTAAAAGGGAGCTAAAAATTTGATAAAATTTAATAAAATTTAATAATTTAATTTAACGTTTTTAACAAAACAATTATATCATAGTATATTATAGAGCTCGTCAACAGCTTGATTACAGAAATAATTAAAATTATTTCTGTCAGTGGCAGTTGATGTGAAATCTAGTAGACAAGGGTTTTACCAAAATAGCAGACATTAATTTGAAATTAACTGGAGCAAATGTTTTATTTCAAAATAAGTTTCAACGGTTCATCAAAGGGAGACTGCAATCAGAAAGTAATGAAAGTGTGCCAAAAGTTATGCAATTTTAAGATTGCTCAAGAATAGGTTGAAACCTAAAGCTTAGGTTATTGTGGGGTGTAATTAGAATGATGAAGAAAAAACATTAGTATTTAAGCCACATAAACAAATTTAATCATTAATCTTTGTTTCCTCACTGATCATTTTATTATATCTTCCTGTGCAAAAATCAACAGTGACCTTTCACGCAAGCGAGGAAAGTAGAAACACGAAGCGTTGTTTACCCATGAAAACTCCCTCCAAAAAGAATTTCTCTTGACGACTGTTCCAACAAATTTTTTTCGTTAAAATAGACTTGAAGGAGATTTTCCTTGAGGATCATAATGACAAGTGCACTCACTTACTCACTTCTAGTTTAATTCGTTCGTATATGTAACCGATTAACAATAACAAACACAATCCTTTATTTTGATTTTTTTGTTTTTGTTTTTTGTGTTTTTTGGTTTTTTGGGTTTTTTTTTTTTTTGCCCTCTCTACATTTCACAAATGAAAAAAAAAATTGAAATGAATCAATTGAAAACAAATTGATCATGGAATGAGCGTCGGCAAATGCAGAGAGTCGGGCTAAGAGACAGAAAAATGCCGGGAAAATGACCAAAAAGTTTGAGAAGAAATACGCCTCACACTAAATCACAAGCGTACAAGTACGCGCAAACAAACAGGGCGTAAGTTTAACATTAGCCAAGCAAAAGAACAAACATCTCGTTTAACAGGTTGGGTGGGACATAGCATGCTTCTTTCATGACAGAGTATTTTGTTGGTGGAAAATCTTTTTTCTTTTCATAGTGCATCAAGATGTTTATTGGCAATAGGCATTTGTCGGATGGTACGAGTTTCCCTGACGAACACATCACAAGCTTACACGTCTTTGTGGACGAATGATCAAATAAATTGACTCAATGTAATAATGTAACAGTTCTCTTAGTACTTAATATTTGCCTCTCGACATCATACACTGACGCAACATATACTACCTTTACCGAACGATCCATTCAGTGACCTTGCATTGAGCCACTGTTAAATTAAAGGTAAAACTATACCCACCATTGCACCGAAACTGTTTAAATTTTTTATAAGTTGGACTCTGAAAGGAATCGAAACTAAAATATCTTGTATAACTTAAGGCATAAGTATGTGCTAAACTGATCAGCATATTGACCGGATTTCGAATTTCAAGTTTTTATTTTTTTTTTGGCATATTTTCTTTTATGTTTTCTTTTGTAGTACGCGCTTTGTGTGATCGAAATGATTCTCCGATAATGCCGTAGAATGTAGTTATAAACTTGAAATGAAATTTTAGTGAATATAATTTTTTCTTCATTTAACGATCTAACATACAAACAGCGGACAGTTTGCTCATTCCCCTTGATTCATGTTAGACTATTAAATACGATGTTTGAATTGATTTATGTGTTTCAAGTGACTTTTGTCTCCTGGACTTAATTGAGACTAGAAATTTGAACAAAACAAATTTTATTGTTACCAATCATTCCTCGAGACTTTCGCAGAAAGTGATTTTAGTTTTCTAGATCATAATTAAGAGCAATTACCACTTTTGGCTGAATTTCAACAAAGGAATGTTTTATAAAGATAAGCCTTACCACACACAACGATTTTCCAACCCGCAAAGCCTTAAGGGAATACGCAACTTTTCGTGATCAGTTTATCAGTGGTGTAAGCGGGTTAGTGGAAATTAGTCAGGCATTTGCATGGCCCTGGATTAAAGACGTTCAAGAAATTTGTGATGAGCGGCCTGTAAAACCGACCTTTACGAAAACTATTTAAAAGTTTAACACCAGACTGTCTCAATTATGGTGGTGTTTTTGTCGTTGATGATGTTGTTTTGTCAATGTCCAAATAGTTAAACATTCTTCAACATACATTAATTTATGGTGACGATGACCATGAAATAGCTTGTATCAAGGTGTAACCGGCGCGGAAAACTATTCATCTAATAGGTAAATGCTTTAAAGAATGGGAGAAAGCGTAAAACTCTTAAGATGATGGAAAAAAAATTCAAAGTCAAGTCTGAGCCCGGGTTAACATGAACCACATGTTTATTTGAATTTCATTGTGGATTTGTTGCGTTTCTTTGATGTAGACCAAAGGCTTCTAATTAAAAAATGTATTTTTTGAACTTATTTGCAATTTTTTCAAAGAGCATGATTTTAAAAAAAGGGGTTTAATTTGGAAAAAAGAGCATAATTTTAGCATAATTAATTTCACCAAAAAAAAGCAATTTTACTGGGATAATATGCTACTTTTACTAGCATAATCTATAAAGGTCTACTTGCTGGGTTCATATTTTTTAACCTTTTCTTTTTTTCTCCCTAATACCCGTGTCGTCCAATCTGGAACTGCGGTGTCAGATTGAAGGACTCACGTTTCCTTGCTTGTTCATAATAACTACCATTGTAATCACTAAAATAATTATTATCATTATGAGGTTCCCTTTCGCCTGTCCCGATTGTGCCAGTAAAATGCTGGAAAGTTGCTCACTGGAATGCCAAAAAATTCCCAAAAGTTTGCTAAAATTCAAAAAAGTTGCTGACTCAATTTCAAAAGTTGTTTCCTAAACTCCCTGATATTTTTTTATTATAAAAGTTAATAAAAGCTTTATTTTTTTGTTATTCGCAATAATTGCTAACATCGGTCAAGAAAAACTGCTTTAAACTTAGCTTTAAGAGTTGCTCGAAAATATGGGCGAAATTGAAGGATACTTAAGTCTAACGGAACAAAACGCATGATTCATTTGACGTCTTGCCGAACGTCATTTTAGCTGGCTAGTTATCCATTGGCAAGTGAAAAGTTCCGTGTTAGGTTTTTTATTAATGAAATCGTTGACTTTTATCGGGCTTGATGTCTTCTTTAAACCTATTTCAGACGCCACTCAGTGATGATTCACAGTG